AGTTTCCAAAGCTGTCAATCTCTGTGGAAGCAGCCTGTCGCATCTTTCTCCCTCGGAGTTGCTGGTGGTTTCCGGCCACCGACCCTTCTGTTAGCAGTCGAGCGCCTTAACCACTGTGCCACCAGCGCTCCCTGGAAATGGTATTCAGAGAGCTTAATATGGGAACAGTTTTGACCTCCCAAGGTCACGCTGTCGACGTGGTCAACGGAGGGTAAACCCAGTGTGATGTACGTGTCTGTGATAGGACAAGTAATAACAGCATTTAGAAATAAGTGTAGCAACTCTGGGTGATAGCCAAAGGCGACGCGTCTGGCCTGCCGTTTGCAGCCCCGACACTAGTTTAAAGACGCTGTACGGATTGTTGTGCACTTGTTAGAAGTGTAATTATGAAGGCCAAGTAGAACATGGGAAACACGTATGTCATAACATACAATATTAAGTCTGAAAAGGAATGAGACATAGTGTAATATGCTTTCAAAAAATTGATAAAATTGATTCTATATATGTGAACAAGGACTATAAGGTAAATATTCAAAAATTAAAATGTTTCTTATATTAAGGAAGTGAGTGGGCTAAAAGGTGATTTTGAATTTTGAAGTTATATAATATAGTCATATTCCCTCATCTTCTTGGAAAAAGATGAATTGTCTCAGATTTAAGGGAAACTGTTAAGTCAGTCCGTAGTGCTAGGGTGAAGAAAGGATGCTTAACTGCAAGCTCACGTTTACAAGCCTCTGACCCCTCACCCAAACGTTTGGAGCCCTGGTGGCACAGTGGTTAAGAGCTCGGCTGCTAACCAAAAGGTCGGCAGTTGGAATCCACCAGCTGCTCCTTGGAAACCCCGTGGGGCAGCTCTGCTCTGTCCTACCGGGTTGACTCAATGGCATTGAGGGTTTGGGTTTTTTTTTTTTTCAGTTTTGGGTTGGTTCTTTAAAGGTGTCACACTGCCCCCTAGTGTTCAACAAACTAAAATGCAAGCCATCTAACAGCCACTACGTTTTCTTTCTGTATTTTCTGAAAAATCGAGGTGATTAAAAAAAAAGAAAGAAAGAAAATAAAAAGGATAGTGTAAAATACCTCAAAGTTGTATAAACTTGTGGATATTCTGTGGGGTGTCAATATTTTCTACTTTTTTGTTTTTTGTAAGATACCACACGGTGTTTTTAGCCCTTGCTGGGCAGGCTTACAGACTTTAGGTTCCCTCAAGTGGCAGAACTTCTTAGAAGGCTTATGAGAGACCCCACGTGCCTCCGACGGTGTGGAAATCACAAACAGCTTCTGAAAGTTCGTCCCTGTCTAGTAAAATGGGCCCAGGAAGAAGCAGCGTGAGGACCAAGCTCAGGACTTCTTTGAGATTCTGTTTAACATTTTTAAATAAAAAAGAAAGGAAAGAAGCATGCACTTTGAGCAGCATTGCATATTAAAACAG